TTCGGACTGAAACATGAGGTGGACGTGGCCTAAGCTGGAAGGATTTATTTCTTTTCTTTCTGAAATAGAGAATGTGTATGGAATTGATTTTTTTAGTGCAGTTACTATTTTTGTTTGTACCTGCACATGACATTTTCTAATGAATTTAATTGGTTCTATAGCCTAAATTATGTGCCTAAACAAACCAGTGACCTAATTTAAACCACCGTGACCCTGACCAGGCAGATACTAAGGATGAACGAATGAATAAATGCTGTATGGGGAAAAAACAAATAGTGCACCTACTATGCATATCTGTATTTGTATTTGTTTAGAACTTAGTATCTGTTCAATCTAAGTAATGTTTGGATTACACACTTCATACCAATGCTCAGTCAAGTCAAACAATCAAAATTTGTACCAAATCTCAGCTTGGACAAAAAATAATGTTTTAAAATTTAATTGGTCAAGGGATATTGATTAATTTTCTCTAACAGCAGTTCTGACAGCAGTGCTGGCTGTAATTCAAACGATTCTTTCTAGTGTTATTGTTTCTACAGTAACAGCTCTTTTACAGGGAGTTATATGGAGAATAATCTAATCTAATCTAATCTAATGATAATAATAAATGGATTTAAAAAGGTGTTGTTATCAAAGAAAATGCATAATCAATGATTAAGTTTTCTGTAAGCACGCTTTTATGTAACATTTATAGAGGGAGTCAGTACTTTGTAATGGTCAAGTTTTCTGCCATGGGTCATCAGGACAGGGGACTTTATGCTTTTGAGTTTCTCAATAGCATGACAAGCTGGTTTTTTTTTTACTTTAGAAAGAGAGAGAGAGAGAGAGAGAGAGAGTGTCACCCATGTGAAATAAAAAAATCGTAATAGTTGGCTGTAAACAATAAAACGCTTTGGGACATGCTGTTATAGGACAATAATCCACTTAAGGGTACAACTGTAAAAATTATTACACCGCTGTTGCGCATTTACTTCTAAACAACAGTAACAAATGCAAGAACATGTACAGATAACAGATACCATCTGGTCAGTTCAGTTTTGATTACTGCAAAAGTTAAGAATTCATGTACATCAGCCATGCACTTCTTAATGCAAATTTCTTCATTTCTTCAGAGTTTACTGATTTCAGCTTGATTGTAAAGCTCATATTAATGTCTCTGGATAAAAACGTAATGACAACCTCTATAATTCGACAACCTCTGACATTCACATACCAGCAAATACCATGAATTCTTCTACTTATTAGAAATTAATAAGGAATTCTCTTGCTAAACAAGTTTATGTGTGTGTGTGTGAGAGAGTAATTACTTAGGTTCTGTGGAAGATACAAGCAGTTGCAGCCAAAAGAAATGGTTTGTGCTATATGGATATTGAACACACGTGTCATGAATTCTTTTGTTTGAGAATCTGTGTTTCAGTATCTACAGAAGCCTCATAAATGTAAAATTATGCACATTTTAGTTCTCGAGAGCCAGCCGACCACAGACTGTGTCAATATTAATGCACCACTAGATGAGACAAAAAAGAGGAAACAGTGAAGCCAAAGTGCTGGTGCCAAACTCTCCCTCTCTCTCTCTCTTTCTCTCTGCCCCGGTTAAAGACCCTCACGCTCAAAGTCCCGCTCAGAATTTCAGAAATCCTCTTTCTTGTTTCTTTTTCTTGTCACCAACAATGGACCTTTTCACTGTCAATGGACAATTACATAACCTAATCCTGAATGAGGCCATGCATGTAACTAACACAAATACACACAAACACACACACAAGGAGCTTAGTTTGACTGCAAAAAAGTTGTTTGACAGCTCTTTCAGTAATGACGTTAGTGTGAACAAAAATGACACTAATGTTGGCATAAAATTGGGCAAGTGAAAAGAAATTGTACACCGCCGGCCTAACAAAGTCTTTCATCAAAGATTACGTCAAAACTAAGTCTGAAGTTTGTTAAAGGCTTACCACTTTCAACCACACATATAAATATATATCATACACCTCAAAAATGTATAGAGATATAATGTGAAAACACACAAGAAGATCTAGAAATAGATAAAATTCTTGATGCACACGAAAGAACTCACTGTATTTGTTGGAGAGGTAGATGGAGAGGAGTCTGGTGTTATCAAGTTGAGAATAATTTCCATTGGAGAAATCATTGAGACAGGTCTAGAGTGCTGTTCAGGAGTACCAACTGGTTCGTTCTAAATCTAAGGTTCAATGATACTCCTACTTGGTCACTATACTATAGAGTAGAAGCACAACTGCCGGAAAGAGTTCCAGGGAACTTGAATAGCAGTCTGAAGTTCAGGACCCACTCCCTTGGGTTTAAATCCTTAAAATCACAGAAGCAGCTGAATCCATTTAGGAAAGACCTGCAGTAAGATGAAAAGATTAGCACAAAGTGGTCCAAGTTCAAAGCCGGAGATATAAAAGAATAAAATAGCTTGACATTTCCTCAGCTTCCCGGTAAGAAAGAAAGAACGGAACAGAAACTGAGAGCACGAGAAAGGGCACAACTTTTTTTTTTCCACCCCTGGTGTGATTGCTTAAACAGCAAGACCGTGGTTTTGGCCAGCAGAAGTGGCATCCATTCGCCTCGCAGAGCTTAGAAAGCACAGCCAATGTGTGTGTGTCCTGCAAACCTAAACCAATCAGCAACCACAGTGGCCTCTGTAAACCAATCAACACCCACAATCCGGGGGATCCGAGCTAGTGACTGGCTATTATCCAAAGTGCAATCAATGGGGTAATGAGGTATGCAGCAAAGAACCCAAAGACACATTGGTCATACCTTACAACAGTGAAAGCACAACAAGTAGCTAGAAAGAAATTAAACGTATGTATAAGACAGCACACTCAATCTCATTAAACCATGGCAAGATGATAGTGGGGGGGCAAGTACCAGAAGCTTCTCAATGCAAAGGAATGAAAAGGGGAGGAAATAGAGTGTGGCGAGGGAATGTGGTGGGAGACAGGGGACAGAGAGAAAGAGTGTGTGTGTGTGTGTGTGTGAGTTGAAAAATGGATTACATAAGACTAGCCTCCATTCATTTGAATTGAACTAGCAAACTAGCAGCTCTAACTGTAGTGCCGGTTGTAATTCAAATCACAGGTTTGTATTAAAGCGCTCGTTCTAGCGTGCTATTGTTTCTATAGTAACTCGTTCACAAGGACTTGTATAGCAGACGATCTACATAAGTTAAGGCTAATAAACAGATTTTTTTTAAAAACGTGTTGTTATTAAACAAAGAAATATGTTAACATGTTGCAGTTTTCTTTAAGGAGTCTGTACGGAGTTTGTAATGGTCTGTAAGTTTTTTTTTGTAGCAGTTTTAGGTACAGCACCTCACTTGAATGGCTAGCCTAGTTTTTAAAAAACCTACGAAAGAAAAATTAAGAAAACTGTACTTCTACTTTGCTCGGATAAACAACTCAAGGCAGGCTTGGTTTTATCAGCCCACCATGACTGCATGGCCTCATGCAAATGTTAGTGGTCTAGAATCTATCACATGGTGTAATAATTGGTGATATGAATTGAATTTTAGATACCATCATATACTGAAAAAAATAATATAGTAAAAAGAAATATCGTGTGAATGCACCACTACTGGGTCAAGCACGTTCAAGCAAGGGTGTATGTACTAGTGCTGACTGATGCTAGTCATATGAGAACAATGCTGATGATGTAATTGGGACAAGTCATAATGCTGACATCAGTGTTGTCACTTGACAGACCGCCACACACAGACACAAACACGCTTTGCCCTTGAAACATATATTCCTCCACCATACTAAGACTAAAAGCTCCCCTATTGAGGAAAAAGATAGCATTACTCATTCTGAGGCTGTGTGTACATTCAATGCATTTCTTGTCACACTGACACTGGAATGAACACACACTATTTTTCATAAATCAAATATAATATAATGTAGCCTGTTTTTAGATGTTTTTGTACACACTTTGTATTTTCTTATTCTACTGGCAGATCATTTTTCTATAAATAAATGCTTAAAAATAGAAGATGTGCTACACCTACACCTAAATCTAACTCAAACCTTAACCTCAGTAACAAAAAGAGAAGTTTGGACTCTTTAAGGTAACAAAAGCCGTGGTTTTCCCCATGGTGACCAGCCAAATGTCCCTCAAAAATGTCAAATAACTCCTATCCTTGTTCCCCACCAAGATAGAAAAACATGCTCACACACAAACACACACACTTCCACTGAAACAAAGCCAAAGCTGGCCTTTTGTACTCTCCAACAATCAATGGACTCATTAAGACTTACATAAAGTTATACTCAGTGGACCAAATCATCCTAAATGGGACTGAATGGAATTTTAGCTCGCTCATTTCACCAACATTTACACGAGGACTTATATCTTCCCACTGTGCAATTAGAACTGTTGTTTATCCTTATACCCTACATGCTTATCCACTTAATCTTTCCTGGTGTTTATCTTTATAACCTATATGCTCATACACCCTCAAATGCTTCTACTATGATGAAGCAGTTAGACTCATTCATTTGCAAATAAAAAAAAAAACAACTTAAAAATGTGTCTTAGTAAGGTGTTGGGCCACCACGAGTCACCAGAACAGCTTCAGTGTGTCTTGACATAGTCTCTGGAATTGTACTGGAATGAGGAACACCATTCTTTCAAAAGATATTCACTCAGTTGGTGTATTGATGATGGTGTTAGAGAGCACTGTCTAACACATCAATCCAAAATCGCCCATAGATGTTCAACTGGGTTGAGGTTTGGTAACAGCAGGGTCATAGCATATGCTTTATAACATTTTCATCCTCATCTAAGCATTCAGTGAGCCCTCATGCCCTGTGGATGGAGGCGGAGTCATCCGGGAAGAGACCACTCATATCAGTAGAGAAATGTTTCATTAGGATGAAGGTGATCAGACAAAATAATGTACTGATTTGTAGTGAGACTTCCCTCTAACTGGACAAATGGATTCAAATCATGCTCTCCATAGCATAACAGAGACAAGTGCCCAGCTAGCTCAGTTGGTAGAGCATGGGACACTTGCACTCAGGATCATGGGTTTAAGCCCCATGCTGGGCACCAACCCCAGCCACTAGGGATGCACTACAGCGCTGGTCCCAAGCCCAGATAAATGGGGAGGGTTGCAGAAAGAGCATCTGGTGTAAAACCTGTGCCAAATCAATAGGCAACCCCTAAAGGGAGCAGCCAAAAGAACAATAACAGAGTCCCCTTTTTTGATTTCCCTTTAATTCATTCACCTGTCTGGGTTTTCACTTTATGTAGGTGCTCAAGAAATGAGGATACTGATTGAATATGATTTGAGTTGATAGAGCGTCAAGCAGGAAAACGACACAACAAAATCTGCTAGTAACTTGACAGGCTTGTCAGTTGGGCTAAATTATATTTTTAAAATGTCAATCAGTTTATTCAGTGTAGCGCACTGACCTGTTGCTGCAGACAACCAGATAAGCTTCTTTTCAACTCTGTTTTGTCCACTGGCTATTTACATGTGTTTAGGTCTTAGATAAGAAGTATGGACACTTGTCCACATCCAGTTGAAATTTTCTAAAAGAATCTGTAGTTGTAAGAGGGGCAATTTCTTCATGCTCTTTATTTCGTACTGTTTTCCTTTCCTTACAGATATAGAGGAAAGGAAAGTGAAAGGGCAGTGTAACCATGATAATGAGGAAGATGTTTGGAGAGGCGCAGACGAAGAAAGGAGCGGGGAAAGGAAGAAAAACAAGCAAAGACAAAGCAACAGTAAAACCATTAAATAATGCTGGCTCGGAAATTATGAGATGAATGGTTATGATAACGTGGCAATATCAACACTCTTTGATATGTCTAAGCACACTACTGATCACAACTACGTGCTAATGGAGGATGACGTTAAATGACACTCTAGCAGTAGTGAAAGTATTTTTGTGATGACCTCATAGGTGTGTTAAGAGAATTTTTTAAAAGCATGTCAAAGGTAAGAAAGCAAAAGTGTAGCAAGATTTATGAGTGTTTCTTGTCATAAAGGCCAGAAAACAGCTACATTCCAGCACATGGATGAAAATAAAAGACAGACTGTTTTACTGGTGCCAAAAAGTGCCTTGCTAAACACACATGTTGTAATGTGTGATTCAATACAAGCCAGAAACTGATGTTATCGGGTTAAAAGCATTTGTGTGATCAGTACAAATCTTGTGGAAAGACTGGAATTTCTGGCAAACAATGCAAGTTTAATGTATGAAACAAAACTTGCAGCCCCACAGACCATAGATTCGCTGATTTAATAGTCATGACATTACTTCATTACTTCGCAGTACGTAACACCAAAGCGGAAAGGCGGCAATGCCACAATGCAACGTTCTAAAGGAAATGCGTCTGAATGTGTCTGAGGGCATGTACGTGTGTGTATGTGTGTGTATGTGTGTCTGTGTGTTTGTGTACATACCACATTCTATTCACAAGAACAGAAAACAGGAAAAGACAAACTGTAATAGACAGGAAAGGACTGAAACCATTATCGCAGCCTTCATAGCTCTGGCCAAAATATGTCCGGCTGGCAGCCATGCCAAGTAACACTTGCCCTTTAGTTGCATTGCTGTATTCAGTTGCTTAATGCTTGCACAGCAGTAACTCAACCAAGATTTGGAAACATCCCTTTTTGGGGAAAAGGGAGTGAGAGAGAGAACTCCTCTAGATTGTGCATTGCATTAAACAGATGTTTCCTTCTTTACCACAAACCCTTTCACATTCTACAGATCCTTCATTTGGCAAGGTCAAGCACAACAGAGATGACTCTGTGGAGATGATCCAAATCTCCCACTAGATGGAGACAGAAGATCTCCAATTGACACAAGGCGTGTAAGAGGGAGTGACAGAGAGACAGAAAGAGAGAGAGAGAGACATTTATCTGGGTTACTGGGACAAAACTGAACTGTCTATGGCCCTAATCTATTATTCATAGCTCGCATGTGCAGAGTGAGATTAGGCTTAGACTCCGTGTTGCATGTGGGTTTGTGTGTGACAGAAAGGCAGAGGAGATTGGGTGGAACAGGCGGGCTGGTGTTTCCTGCTATCTCCTTTCTTTTGGTCGCTCAGGGTGGTAGAATTTTTCTGATATGAGGATCCTAGTCAGCCTTGACCCTTCATGCCACACACACACACACACACACAGACATGCCTAGGTTAAAAATAGAGGGGGAAGATGGATAGATTTTAATGTAGTGTTAAGTTACAGCTATTATTACAATTCAATTCAATTCAATTTTATTTGTATAGCGCTTTTAACAATGAACATTGTCTCAAAGCAGCTTTACAGAACATAAGAAACAAAAAGCATGCAAACAGAAACAAAAACATGCAAACAGTCCTAGATGTTAGACAGAATTATCCCTAGTGAGCAAGCCTGAGGCGACTGAGGCGACTGTGGCAAGGAAAAACTTCCTTAGATGATATGAGGAAGAAACCTTGAGAGGAACCAGAAATCTTACATCTTAATATATACATATATATTAGACTGTTTTCCTCCCATTAGACTGTTTTCCTCTCATCATTTTTTATTCCACTTATACCACTGCAATTTGCCAACAAATACTATGTTTTAGTTTTACAAACCATACTTCATATATTTTAACCATTTATAGTTACATTTAATGTTGAGGTATGTCTGCAAAACAAGTTAGTTTGTTTTATCACTTATGTTATAGCAGCTACAAAAAAAACTTGTCACCGGCCTCTCTTAATTTCTCTGTGCTGAACATAAGATGTAAAAAAAAAAGTAATTTGTCGCATAACTGAGAAAATGAAAAAACACAAAGACAAAAAAAGTTATAGTAAAGTTATAAAGTAAAGCTGTGAGTCTCTTTGACAATCCTGTAATAGTACTTTACAGGTCACTGTTGTGTCAGGAGGGTCTGAAATGGCAGGAAATGTGTATGCAAGTGTCATACACCAGCTCAGACACGTCAAACATCATCAGCTGAAAGGAGGCCAGCTACTCGGTGACAGGCAGGATTTACTGTACATGTTCTCTACTTTGGTGGGAAGCTAGTGAATGACTGTCAGCCAGTTGTCTTGTCAGGGCATTTGTATTGTTAGTTAAAGTGTTTTAGGTGGTGCAGTCAAGTTAATCCATGTGGTGGAGAAGACTACAACACAGCGCATGTTAAAAAAAATGCTCTTCTCCTCTTTTTACATTGCAATGTTTATATGTATTTCATTGTTAAATAACAAGGAATTATTGCTAGGCTTTAATTATGCGGGTGTCTGCCATACAAGTCGCTGTGAATAACGTCTTCATATATACTTGTATGTGCTCAGACACTATGTTGTTATAGGAAATTCAGCACCTCCTGACCAAACAGATTTGAGAGTTTAATAGCGCTGTGGTATAATAAATAACAAGACATCCTGTATTGTAATGTTAATAAATCGTAAAATAAGTCGGAATGCAAGGACTCAAGATAAGATCCTTTCAACATTTAGTTCAAAAAGAGACTAAAGTAATCCAATCTAACCTAAATCCTATCCCTACCTATAATCTATAACAGAGACTATAAGTATCTATAGTCTGTAATGCGTCTATAATGTGACAAACTATCCTTGCTCAATTAGATGTCTCAATTAGGATGTATTTCTGCCTTGCTCCAATGTTCCTGGATTAGGCTCTGGATACACCAGAATGCTAATTAGGATAAAGTAGTTATTACAGGTGAATGAATGAATTTGTGAGTGCAATAAGATGTATTATTTACAGTAGTTTTCCTCCTTATAACACTGAGACACACACAAAAGTTACTTTAGTAAGAGTTTCCCCTGGTGGAGAATCATGCTTTTGCTGAACACATCAAACATCTGTGTTAATATCTGCATAGGCATTAATCCCCATGAACAAAACAAAGGCTGCAAATCAATTGCACTTCCCACTGCTAGACGGCGAGTGTATAAGGTTCACAGAATTTCTGGAATATCATTACAAACGGAATTAAATTCATAAATTGTAAAACTAAACAGCCAGATTTAAAACGCACCCATGCTGGCAGCTTATTGGGTCAGCTCTACTGAGAGTAAACATGCTTATTCACTGGATTTGATGAAAGCAAACAGAAGACACACACACACACACACACACACCCACATGCATGCATTTGCATTCAAACACTAACTGGCCTGGATATGGGTGTCGACCTAAATGGATAATTAAGTCATGAATATTCACTAGACATGCTGATTAAACAGTCTGAGGGGTGATCAAACAGATCATACACCATCTCACACACACACAGACACACACACACAGACACACACCCACAAACACCCTCCGAAAACTGAAATTCAGGCAAGAGTGAGCATACACACATAACAAGACAAACTGAATTCACATATCAAACACACCAGTATGAAAAATGCCGTAATGCACTTACCCAAATGTGAAGGTTTGTATATGAACTACTGTCATACATCAGTTTTTTTTTTTTTTTT